TGGAGTGCCTCAAGGCTCTGTCCTGGGACCTCTGTTGTTTATAATATATATAAATGATTTAGATTCAGGTTTGAGTAGCAACATTTGCAAATTTGCCGATGATACGAAAATCGGTAGGGAAATTAATTCGGAGGAGGACTCACTATCACTTCAAGTTGATCTAGATAGGGTTTTGAAATGGTCAAAGGATTGGCAGATGCAGTTTAATGCTGATAAATGTAAAGTTCTGAGGTTAGGTAATGATGATAGAGTTACAAGATACGAGCTAGATGGTGTTGAGATTGCGAAGTCGGATTGCGAAAGGGATCTGGGAGTTATGATTAGTAAGAATTTAAAACAAAATGATCAATTCATAAATGTTCGTAATAAGGCAAATCGGACACTTGGATTTATTAATCGCAGCGTTAGTAACAAGACACCTGGTGTGGTTCTCAAGCTATATCTTGCTCTAGTTAGGCCCCATTTAGATTATGCAGTTCAGTTTTGGTCGCCATATTATAGAATGGATATAAATTCACTTGAACGTGTCCAGCGTAGGATGACTAAGTTAATTCCCCAAATTAGAAATCTTTCATATGAAGAAAGATTAACAAAGCTTAAGTTGCATTCACTGGAAAGGCGAAGAGTTAGGGGCGACATGATACTGGTTCAGATAGATATATTAGACGAGGAGGTGGAGTAGCCATATATGTTAGGGACAATTTGAAATGTAGTCTCAAAGAGGGAATCAAAACAGAGCCACACACAGAAACTATTTGGATTGAATTAAACGAAAAAGCTAATAATTTTATAATAGGAGTAATATATAGGCCACCAAATTTAGACAGAATGGAAGCAAAGCATCTATGGGATGAAATATCTAGAGCATCTAGATCTAACAGTATTTATGTCATGGGTGACTTTAATTTTAGCGGAATAAACTGGTTGAACAAAACAGGGAATAGTGAAGCAGAAGATTTTCTAGAATTAATTGACGATTGCTTTCTTACGCAACACATTAAGGAACCAACACGGGAAAATAATATTTTAGATTTAATGTTAACTAACAGGGAAACGCAAATTAATGACATCGAAATAGGGAGTGAGCTAGGGAGCAGTGATCACAAAGAAATCAGATTTAGCATAGAATGGAATAGACCAGTAGGAGAAAATTCTGTTAAAGTGCCAGATTTTCGAAAAGCTGATTTTAATAGCCTAAGAAATTTTTTGGGTCAAATTGATTGGAAAGGCTTGGGTATGGGGTGTGGGCCGGTCTTGGAGCGAGACATGAACCCAGCGATAGGTGACTTAAATGGGGATTTCGATGTGGATTCAATATATAACTTATTTAAGAATATTCTAAACAAAGCACAGGAACGTAGTATACCATACAAATTGAATAGATCGTATACTAATGACCCAAAGTGGATAACAAAGAATTTGAAGAACCTTATAGGTAAAAAGAGAGCTTGGTACAAAAGGATTAAAAATGGGGAGGTCACTTTAGAACAGGAATTCGTACAACTGGTTAGAAATGTTAAAAAAGAGATAAGGAAAGCAAAAAGGAACTATGAAGTTCGCATAGCAGGGCAAGCAAAGACAAATCCTAAAGGGTTTTTTCAGTTATATCGTACTAAGACTAGGGAAAGGATAGGTCCATTAAAAACTGTGACAGGTCAAATAACAGATAGTGATGAAGAGATGAGTTGTATTTTTAATAAATATTTTGTATCTGTATTTACTAAAGAGGAACTTAACAATATGCCTTCAGCCGAACAAGTCTATGTGGGTGGGGACGAGGACAGGTTGACGAGTTTAGCAGTTACCAGGGAGGATGTTCTTAAACAAATAGTAAAACTCAAACCAAACAAATCCCCAGGGCCGGATGAAGTGTTTGCTAGGGTGCTTAAAGAATGCAAAGAGGAGCTTTGTGACCCACTGTCAACCATATTTAATAAATCAATAGAGTCAGGCAGAGTGCCAGAGTTTTGGAAAGTTGCTAATGTGATACCAGTTTTTAAGAAAGGAGATAGATCACTTGCGTCTAACTATCGACCAATTAGCCTAACGTCTATTGTGGGAAAGTTACTCGAATCTATAATAGCAAATAAAATTCGTCTTCATCTTGAAAAACATAAATTAATAATTGAGTCTCAACATGGTTTTATAAATGGCCGTTCATGTTTAACAAATTTGTTATCTTTTTATTCTAGCATTGTTGAGGCAGTTGATAGTGGTAAGGAGTGCGATGTTGTATACCTTGACTTTAGCAAAGCTTTTGATACAGTGCCACATGAAAGACTGATTAAAAAAATAGAGTCTCATGGTATTGGGGGTGCTATATTAAGCTGGATTAGGGCATGGCTATACCAAAGGAAACAGAGAGTTAGTATAAATGGAATCAAGTCAGAGTGGGAAAATGTTGTAAGTGGAGTGCCTCAAGGCTCTGTCCTGGGACCTCTGTTGTTTATAATATATATAAATGATTTAGATTCAGGTTTGAGTAGCAACATTTGCAAATTTGCCGATGATACGAAAATCGGTAGGGAAATTAATTCGGAGGAGGACTCACTATCACTTCAAGTTGATCTAGATAGGGTTTTGAAATGGTCAAAGGATTGGCAGATGCAGTTTAATGCTGATAAATGTAAAGTTCTGAGGTTAGGTAATGATGATAGAGTTACAAGATACGAGCTAGATGGTGTTGTGATTGCGAAGTCGGATTGCGAAAGGGATCTGGGAGTTATGATTAGTAAGAATTTAAAACAAAAGGATCAATGCATAAATGTTCGTAATAAGGCAAATCGGACACTTGGATTTATTAATCGCGGCGTTAGTAACAAGACACCTGGTGTGGTTCTCAAGCTATATCTTGCTCTAGTTAGGCCCCATTTAGATTATGCAGTTCAGTTTTGGTCGCCATATTATAGAATGGATATAAATTCACTTGAACGTGTCCAGCGTAGGATGACTAAGTTAATTCCCCAAATTAGAAATCTTTCATATGAAGAAAGATTAACAAAGCTTAAGTTGCATTCACTGGAAAGGCGAAGAGTTAGGGGTGACATGATAGAGGTTTACAAGTGGATGAATGGACATAACCGGGGGGATATTAATAGGGTATTAAAAGTATCAACACAGGACAGAACACGAAACAATGGATATAAATTGGATAAGTTTAGATTTAGGAAAGACTTGGGTAAATACTGGTTCAGTAACAGGGTTGTTGATTTGTGGAACCAATTGCCGCGTAACATTGTGGAGGTGGGGTCCCTCGATTGTTTCAAGCACGGGTTGGACAAGTATATGAGTGGGATTGGGTGGTTATAGAATAGGAGCTGCCTCGTATGGGCCAATAGGCCTTCTGCAGTTACCTTTGTTCTTATGTTCTTATGTTCTTATAGAGGTTTACAAGTGGGTGAATGGACATAACAAAGGGGATATTAATGGGGTATTGAAAGTATCAACACAAGACAGAACACGAAACAATGGGTATAAATTGGATAAGTTTAGATTTAGGAAAGACTTGGGTAAATACTGGTTCAGTAACAGGGTTGTTGATTTGTGGAACCAATTGCCGCGTAACATTGTGGAGGTGGGGTCCCTCGATTGTTTCAAGCGCGGGTTGGACAAGTATATGAGTGGGATTGGGTGGTTATAAATAGGAGCTGCCTCGTGTGGGCCAACAGGCCTTCTGCAGTTGCCTTTGTTCTTATGTTCTTATGTACTGAACGGGGTGAGAATAGCTTGAGCTACCTCATCCCTTTGTGTGTATTTTACCTCAATAAACTTATTTCAATTTCAATTTCAGAAGAATTGTTCATCCTCATCATGCAAAGCTTCATGCTAATTTGGACTACAATTCTATGTATCTGCCCCTGGAAAAAGTTGACTTTGGTTACGAATTTTCAACACTTCGGGTCACTAACAGACAAAACAATTTTATAACCCAGGAAAAGTTTCAAAATATTAAAGAAAGATGCGATAATTTTTTAATGAAAGCTTGCAAATAGCTTCTTTCTCGTATTCTAAGTAATGTTGAAACTTTAAAAAGGGTGAAAAATCTGTTACCTATCATATGCCTTAGCCACACACGGCCACCATTTTCAGAACTTCCATAAGTATTAGCTGACCAATCTAAGCTTAGTGAAATTGAAAGTCAGTGGCGCCTACTGTTAACCATTGACTGGTCCAACATTTGTGAGGGACAAATTCCAACATCTGGAGCGCCATTTTAGACCAAGACAAAAACTGTCAAGAACGCTGCTGGCGATCCCATACTGATTGACCTCGCTGAGTTTGCATTGAAAATATACAGCTTGCAAATCAGTAATGCCCTGGTTGAACGGATATTTTCAAGAGTAACGTCTGTGAAAACTAAACTGAGAAATCGAATGGGACTTGAGCTTTTGACATCAATCTTGACATCAATCTTTGACATCAATCTTGAGAATCAAAACATATCTTGAAGAAAATGTAACTTGTTGCTCGTCATTTGAATCACTCATGTCAATTCTTAAATATGTCTGCAATATACAAGAACGAGGTTGTGGATGCAGATCAAGATCTTGATAATCTTCAACTGTAAAGACGTGGAAGGACTCCACACCCATTAGGCTTCAAACAGTAAATATTGGTAAGTTATCCTATTATCATATTGGTTAAATATATTAACTATATATTTCAGTTTATTTCTCAGTTTAGTGAAGCATAATGGGTGTATATATATATGTGCAGAGAAAATATTAATAAAACAATTAAAATCTCTAATGTACTCTATATATCAAAATAGATTACTTTAAAACCCGTATCAATCACTAAACAAAAAATTGGGCTACTCTTATGATACAAATTCACTACTTTTAGAGCGTCAGCTCTCTACTTTCAGCAACTTGACTCTGGCAACCTGGCGTGTTTAAAAGGCGGGCCACCAGACACTTGTCAACCACAACACACTGAGCCGCCCCGAGGGAAGGTTTACGCTGCACCAGTAATACTCTACTAGCCAACAGTACAAGTCCTCTCTTTCTACAGTAACGTTGAGTTGTGAGTGTTAGAAGATGTCAGTGATGGTGGTAGGTGTGAGGGCCGGGCGCGTAGTGTCAGCAGGAGCCAGACACAAGCACACACTCTCTGCAGGTAAGAACCTCTTATATCACCGTGTTGTTATCTGTTATAACTTACCTGTTCGTCCTTCTGTAAGTTGTGTATGTATAGGTGTGTCATTTTGCGTTATATCGTGCAAGGGGGACACAATGAGGTCATCCAAGGGTCGGTTAACACCAGCCTGACAACAAGAGAAGGTGACCCTGACCAACCTTGGGGACCGGATGGTCACGAGTTATTTCACATTACTCTGTATGATAAACATTGTGTGGTAGAAGAGTGGATTGTTTAGGTGCAGATTGTTCTAATGAGTCTAAATAGTTTAGTCTGAATTATGGTTGTACACTATATTAATGTTCTTGAGAGGAAGATAGCAAGGTGAAGGTAATGGTCAGATCGTACACACGTTTCAACAAACTAAACTTATTTTGGTTGACTTCCCGGCCCTTCCTCTTGGTGTCCCGGAGTCAGGGCCGGGAAGATTGATAGTTGAATCCATCATTTAACTTTCAGTGAATCATGGGTCCTGACTCAAAGGTGCTTTTTATCGATCTGCTGCAAGGTAATGTTAATTTGGTTGTCAAGATGAGCATTATTATTCCCACATGTAAGGTCCTGCATTTGTCTATATTAAAGAGCATTTGCCAGTCTTCTGATCATTTGTAGAGATCGTGTGGGTCTCTTTGTGAGGCTTCAATATAATTTGTTGATATTGAATTATATAAATTAATTTAGGAATTAATTTTTCTGCAAGCACATAAAAGGTAGAATGTAAAAGGAACATGCACGACTTTGTAAAAATTAGAAAGCATGTACCTGATTTTTTTTTAAATGTTAATAAAAATACAAATTACTGTATATGAATTATATATGTTGCTGAAAATTGCTGTAGTAAATGTTCCAAGTTGTGATCTTAAAATTATTCAGTAGCATTATAATCTCAATGTGTGCAAAAGAAGTGTTTACCTGTTTGCCGGAGAGCCACTAACACTAATGGACTCGACAAGGACAGGAAGCCGGCGGCTTGTTCAAGGTCCTCTCCCCATTTGTCTATCTTTTCCATTTGTACTTTAAAAGTTAACATTTTTTGGAGTTTTGGCATTTATGGCTTTGGTGGGTAGGAGGTTCCATGCCTTAATAACCCTGCTGGTGAAAAAGCATCTCCCGTTCTCGGTCTTACATTGTGGCTTGTTGAGCTTGTAACCCTTGTTCCTTACATCTGACCTTTCGGAAAAAACAAATTTGCAGATCAACATCCTTCAAATTGTTTAGTATTTTAATCATCATGTCTCCAAGGGATGTTCATCCCTGGAAGACTTCAAGGTCTACCCTTGCTGTAAAACAGTTAACATTCACATTCTGTAATCCTTCTGAACCTGATAACAGCTTCTAAACTTCTTGCTGGCATTTTTCTCCCAACTGCTAGCAGTAAAATGAATTGAACACTTGTTCATTAAAGATTGATTGATTGATGATGATTAAGCCACCCAAAAGGTGGCACGGGCATGAATAGCCCGTAAGTGGTGGCCCTTTTGAGCCATTACCAGTATCAATAGATGATACTGGAGATCTGTGGAGGTACGACTGCACCCTGCGTGACGGGAGATGTCTCCCTCATTAAAAGAGGTGGCCCGTCAATATACTGCATGAAATGGACAAACAAATAACATAATAAAATAAATAAAACTTGAACCAGCACTTGATCACAGATAACATAAATTGTAATAAATTAATCACTGTATACCAGACCTAAAATTGTCAGATTTATAACGCCCAGCAAAACAATCTACTTAACTTCAGCAGCTGAAACATCCTATCTCTCACAACTAACCACTCCACTGGTGGAGTCACTCCCCCTTACTAACTTGGAGAGGCACTCCTATGCAATTTCGCCAACCTATTGTATTCTAACAAAACGGTAATCCTTACTAACTCGGTGACACTGCCATACACTATTTGACAAAGTATTAAATACATTAATATGTTTATGATAATACTTCCTAAAAGAGTCAGGATTCTCGGCCTCTGTATGCACACAATGTGTAATTTATTTACTAGGCTTCTGGTATTTGTGTAGAAGCAGTTTAAACACCTGACATTGTTCCTAGGGGCATGTAAGATTGCTCCTGCATACTATTATTCCATACATAGTATAGTTATTGTGCCTGCTTGTCGACAAATCTATAGGGTTAGGTCTGCCTGACTGGGTGAATCCTCTCCTCCATCCACTGTCATGATCACCTGCCCAATCCTTGTTTTTAACTTTGTCTGTACAGTACTTTGTCTGTACTGGCCTGTGTGTAACTCCTTTAGTTTGTCTCGGTTCTTTGTTCTTTTGCTGTTCAACTGTGAAGTCTGGGGATGTGTTTGGCCGAGAAGCTATTTGAACTGTAGGATAAAAATATAGGATGACATACTAGGCGAGGTAGCAAGATTCAAATTTTTTGGGCCAATTTGGAAAGTAGTAGTATGGTGGGTACTGTAAGAGTATAATGAATAGAAGAGTGGTATGAAAGGTGAAGAATATAATGAAAGTAGGAATGTTGTGGGGTAATATTCTACTCCCAGTTGTGACAAATGGAATTTAAACTTTCTTATGGATAGGGGTAGTGCTAAAGACTACAAGCTATGGTAATTATGATTTTGAGAGTTGGCTGGTATAAGCATGTGGCATGGTTATGGTAGTGAAGTAGAGTATAACATGGTGTGGGGGGGGGATGAATTGTGGAGCAAGTGAAGTGCAATACACCGTGGTGGTAAGAACATGGTAAAATACCTTAGGATCATTTACCAATGGTAAATAAGGGTGAAATATGGTAAAGGATCATACAGTAGGCAGACGACAGTTGTTTAGAAGGGAACAGTGGAAAGGTTTATGGAAAGAAAAGGGCAGAGACCTTTAATAGAGTGAAAGGTTTGAGGAACTTCTGCTAGCATGCTCTAGCAGAAGTTCCTGGATAGGGTTTCGGGAATTCTTCTACTCCCCGAGCCAGGCCTGGGGCCAGGCTCTAGATGTGTGCAGCATTTATTAGTCAGGTTAAGCTTTAATGGGTCTGGCAAAAAATTGAACGAGTATGGCTTTAAGGGGACAACGACAATCCATTATATTTTCTAACATATACCCATCATATAATAAATGTTTGTGCAAAGAATGAGTGTCTATACATCTAGTGGGATGTAACATTGAAGATTTCCTTTACCAGAACAACAGCAGCAACCACCACAGCAAAAGATGCATCAGGCAGCGAGTGGAATGACCAGTTTTCAACCATCACACATACCCATGCCAGCAAACGTAGAGGAGCTTCAGGCGTCGGAAAAGGTACAGTATGTTGAAGACATGGGAGAATTTAAGGGTGTCATTCAATTAACTCGACAGATGTGAGAAGTACTGTATTTATAAAGACTACCCTATAAAAAGGATTACAATAGTTAATAGTATAAAAGATTGGCTAGTTTCTTTCAGCCATGTATGATTTTATAATATTGTTGAGAACTTTATAAAATAATCCACCTACTGAATTTCTTCTCCAAAATGCACATTTCTAAATGAAAGAAATTTGAATTGAAGTTTATTGAATCGAGAATATATAAAAATATGCCCGGTAACCACCCAATTTTCACATTGAACATTTGAAGGTACAGATTGACTTGGTAATTGGGGTTGTTCTGTATGTAATTTAAAATGCATCTTTGCACAGGAACACACCCTATTGGCCTTTTTATACCCGTGTATCACTTCACAACATAAAGTACATTTGTGCTTGCCTATCAGTGTTTGGCTCTCTGACTACAAAGGGGATGCCCTGCCTACTAGCCTTGTTGTGCTGTACTTGTTGCATTATAGTTGAACAATGCTGACAATCGCATTCTTTGTCGAATCTGCTGTTAAAGTTGTGGATGGAGGTGGCTTCCACTTCATCTTCTCTCTGTGCATTTCACTTGTTGACAACCTGTATGAGTATTTCCATGCACTTTTTATTTTTGTTTACCAGCTTAAACTTGTCCTCTAATGTATAGTTAGAAAGGCTTGGTACTTTCTCCTGATAATTACATAATTACCTTGTCCTATTTTTTCTCAATTTAAAGTGGCTATCATTGTTCACCTTGTTTATTCCCTTCAGTATCTTGTATGTTGTGATCATATCTCCTCTGTTTCTTTTGTCCTCCTGGGTTATGAGGTAAAGCTCCTTCAACATATTCTAGCTTAAGCATCTTGGCTCTGGAACTAATCTTTTGCAAACCTTGGCACTTTTTAAATTTTAGTTTTATTTGACAAGGTGTGTATTTCAGGCCAATGCTGCATATTCCAGCAGCAAAAGCTGTGTAGATTGCTTTGAAATAGTCCTGATTTAGGTTTCTAAGCTACTTACTAGTGTTCACCAGCATCCCATATGCTACCAAAGCCACCCTACCTTTGTGTGCCTCTGGTGATATTGTTGGACTCAAATTATATCCTCTCTCAAATCTTACTCGAATTCCTGTAGTTGCTTCCCATTTATGGTTATAAACATCTTCTGGTCTTTTCTCCTTTTCCCCATCCTCATTACCTTACACTTAGTGGATTGAACTCCATCAACTACCAGTATGTTTTCCCACTCCTGGAGTTTGTAAAGGTCCTGCAACATTTTGCAGTTCTCTATTATTACATTCCTCATTAGCTTTACAGAATCTGCAAATAGCAGCATATATGAGCACACACACTCTTGGGTAGCTCATTAATACAAGTTAAGGACAGTAGTGGTCCCAGGACCAAGCCTTAGGGGATCCTACTTATTATATTTCTCCTGCTGGAGACCTTGCCTCTTGACGTTTTGCCTTCTGTACTTCAGGTACTCCCTTACTTTGTTTAGTGCCTTCCCAATTACCCCAGCTGACATTTCCATCTTTTACGCCAGTCTTTTGTGTGGAACAACATCGAATGCTTTTGACAGTTTAGGAAAATGCATTCTACCCAGATTACATCTTTCCTGGGTAGATTTCAAATTCAATCAGGTTTGCTAGGCATGACTTCCTCCTCCTCAGTCCATGCTGACATTTTGTTACTAAAAGTTTAGTCTTTCCAGGTGCTCACTATTCTCTTCTCGATTAGTCTCCAGCACTTTATATTTACTTGTTATTGACACTGGTCTGTAATTTAGTACCTCCTGTCTGTCCCCATTCTTGTTGTGCATTTCCTAATGCCTGAAAATTTGATTTGTAATATATAACATTTAATTACTGTACAACAGTCATTGTTTATTTGTATACCAATCATGTCACTTGAGGCCTAGTCCCACTTAACTAGAGTAAATGTCAAAAGTAATAATAATTATTGTAACGTTTTGGTATAATGCAAGCCTAGCATTCCAAAGTATCATAAAGTCTTTGTTTTTCACTTGAGCAAACCTAATGACCAATCACTAAAATTTCATTCACATACCTATAAAGCCCATGAAGCTTGTATTAGTTTGACAACTACAGTATTAGTTGCCATTTAATTCTTCAGGTTACTTTTTCATTAGAAAGCCAACTCTCTCCTTACTCCTGCTTTAATACTTCCACTTTTTATTCTCATATGAACCTTGCACATTGAACATTTTTCTCGCTTAACTTTTAACCTTCCATTCTCATGGTTTTAAACTTATTTCCTTTGCATTTAACGAGGACTGAAAATGCCTACTGCAATTTTTGTGCCCAGGCAGGTCAAAGCCCTAGGTTCAAGGGTAATTTTCCCATATGGAAAGGTATATGCTTTCTGATAATTTTATTATTCAGCAATAAATTGTAGGAGAGGGGGGAAAAATAGGTTTATGAATAACATAGGAACTGTGCTGTGCTGTAATTGAATAAAAGTACAGGTATTTGGTAATTTTCTTTCTCTTTTGCAGGCACGTTTCTCTCCTCGTCGCAACAGAGATGTTTCTTCACAGTTGAACCAAGTGGGCAGCTTGTTTAGCTCAGGGTTCATGGGCAACCAAGGGTCACAGAGTGCCTACAACCGTGGAACACTGCCTGTTGACTCTCACGTTGATGTTTATGATGCACGCATCACAGTTTCTTTGTCTTCGGTGAGTTTGATTTATACCTAAAGTAAGATCCTTATTGTATATAATAATCATTCCTTAGACACCACATAGAACTGAACCATGTAGTAAGTATTTATATTTGAAGAGTCCTTGTTTGAAAGTTTATTTTTGGGAAAGTTAAGAAAGTTATACACAACATAATGATGCAGTAAGGCATCTCTGTGAAGCTTTTTTTGTTTTTTAATAAGTTATTTAAAATTCAAAAATATTTAAAGGATGAATACTACATGGTAAATTGGGCACCACTCCTCATTTCCTTAAATGTGAATATCCTTGTATTACTTTGGTACACCACAACCAGGCATATGCAAATGCCTTTGGGAAAAGACCTATTTGGATGCAGACGAGTCAAAAGATTTGGGTGGTACTGGTTTAACATTTTTTTTAATTTAATATTCATAAATGTTCATGTACATTTATTGTACTTTAGTTTAGCTAATGAGCCATGCTAATTTAGGTTATAAAAACTACATAGTGGGTATCCATTATCTATATGATGTAATGGAATGATGAGCAGGTGAACTGCATATCGCTTGCTACACAATTCTTGTGACCTTTGAGAGCATAGTGTAACAGATATTCTGAGTGGCAAAATGTAAGCTCAGGAAAATAAAAAATACAATTAAACTAAGGTTTTCATACTGGTGATATGAAATGCCCAAGGGTAATTATTTATACTTGAGTGAAACATTAAGTATAAATGGTTAAGTATAGTGATACTTAACCTAAAAATGTGCATATGATGAATCCAGAAATGTGTCACAAAAAAATAAAATGCAGTTAGCCTGCAAAATTGGTCCTGGGTTCGATTCCTTGGCAGTGTGGTGTTTGGGCTCATTTTGGGAATTAGTGTTGGAGGTTGCATTCTGGGATATGTTAGTAGGGTTATATGGACTTTTACACAAGTCAAACGGGTTTCTGTTCCCAATAATGTTAAATGGTGATTTTCCCTTACATTATTTAATATTTTACCTAATTATTATTTGTCTTTTACCATCTCTTAACTTAAATATAGACACTTGTTTCACACTGGTTCTGGTTGGAATACCTCCCACTTGCACAAATTTTGCACAGCATTGCATATTGATCTTGACCCACAAAAATTTCTCTAGCTTCTCGTGCATATTTCACTTCATACACTTCTTTCTTCACATAATCAAATCACTCCAGTTTATCACCTTCCCTTCACCTCTATGTATGACTCGATGCCCACAAGGCATTTGAGAGGAACAAACTTGTCTCTGAACACACCCACCAAGACATCCACATTGCCTTTTAAGCCTTGCACACCCCCACTTTCCAACCACTACTTTGCATCCATTCACCACTTGAATGAAGCATGAAATACTTGTTGACCAAACAATAGAAAGTGAAGGGATGACGACGTTTTGGTCCGTCCCGGACCATTCTCAAAGCGATTGTGATGAGGCAAAGGCAATAAATAGGCGAGAGAGAGGTGAGAAGAAAATCTTAGAGGAAGAAAAAGAAAGGTAAAAGTTATGAAAGGTAATGTGTAATAAAGGGGATAGGAATAGGAATGAGAAAGGGATCGTAAGAGAAAACATGGGACAGAAAAAGGAAAGAGAAAGATAAATGGAAGGGTAAGCTTACGTTAGGTCATGTTTGTTAAAACGTTTCCTTCACCACCTTCCCTCATCACAATAGACTTGAGAATGGTCCAGGACGGACCGAAACGTCGTCGTCCCTTCACCTTCTATTGTGTGGTCTGGTCAACATACTTTAGCCACGTTATTGTGACTCATCGCCTGCATAGAGAAAACTGTATTTTCATTCTGGTTTAATTAAATTTTTTTTATCTTTTCAGGTGATGCAAGCAAATGTCCCCAAGCCTTATGGAATTTCAGGGAAGGCCCCAGTTCATCTAAACATGCTTGGTGGTCAGTGGGCCCAGGATGACAAGTATGTCTCTGGTGACCTCCTCGACCACCACCACTCTACCATCATCTTGAAGAAAAACCCAGGTACTGCCCTCATAACCTTTGGCAGTTTGGGACTCGGATCCCTCGTGAAGCGTGTTGCTCTGTTAAAACTGAGTGGACTTGATTATAGAGGTCTGGAGACTGTGTGTGGCAACAGTAGAATAGACTATTTAAACAGTCGACGGTTTTCTTCGTGTACTAACAATGTGTGTACCCCTGTTCTGTGTACCCATATGTTGAGGTGAGAGATTGCCTTTGCACCCAGGCCTCATCTTCTTCGGTGAAGGGCACGAGATTTATCTTGCAGACAGTTTTTCATTTCGGTGCTTGACAAAAAGGGTGAAGCACATTACAAACCTCCAAAACTGTGCTGCAGGTAGTATGTCCTGTTGCTTTGCAATGTGTAGCAGCACCTTGGAACTGTGTAGTGCTCTTCCTGGGCAGTAGGCTTTCATGGCATTTTACTGTGTTCTGGTGCTTTATAGTGCATCTTGGAAACTCTCGTTACTTTTTTTTTTTTCTCCTGCATTTCTGCAAGTTTTGTGTTTTCTTTCACTGGCTGGCTCTCTGCTGGTGCCTTCCTTCCCATCTCGCCTTCTTTTTTTCCTATGTCCCTAGTATTGTGGTGTTGGGCACTGGACATAGGTTCTCTTCTGGCCTCTTATAATTTGGTCCTCCCCTCTGTTCCCATTTGTTGCGTGTCGTGTGCATTACTGGATGACCTCTTTTGAATCTTGGCTTGTGTTGGTGGTAGAAACCTTATTTTAGTAACCATTTGACTTTAGTATTCAGTGTGGATCTGTTGGAATTTGAACGAGACTGCAAATTTGTGCATGCAAGTGTGTGCGCGCCCCAGTCTGTGTATCCCCATTCCATGAGGACGGTGCTGTGCATCATCTTGGATTGACTATGTACCAATGGGTGTCACGTTAAGTTTTCTCTGTTCCAGATTCTTCTCTTGGCCCTCCTTGGTGTCCCAACTTGGTTCCCTTCCTTGTCTTTCTCCTCGCTTAGGATTTTGGGTGTCTGTATCTTATGGCTTCCTGGGCAGTTTTCTGATCCTAGTGTTGTTTCTTGGCCAAATTGATTCACAGTACTATAGGGGAGTATGTTTTCATAGGTCTCTCTCTCTCTCTCTCTCTCTAAGTACATTATTTGTTCCTTTGCTTATTTTTTTCTTATGGCCTTGTCTGGTCAAGTGGCTTATTCTGACTGTTACTACATCCTATAATGGCACCTTGGTGGTGCCACTATGGCTTAGCTTTACCCCTCAATTTTTTATTTCTCCATTAATAAAATTTGTTAGCCACCTTCAGCTTTGGTTTCATCCAGGGACAACCTTACTTTCTTATGGCCAGTTCAGCCCTGGCTCCTGATTTCGGTGTGTGCCAGCTCCCATGTTCCTTATTTTTATTTCTTTACATGGCTCAGCAATTTATGCTCAACACCATTGCATCATATATAATTGCTTTGGTAGAGCTACATCTTGATTTTTGGCTAGATTTTTCTAGTTGTCTTTGAAGCTTGGCAGCCTTTTTAAAAAAGCAAATCATTGCTGTGTGCTGTTGATGCCCACTTGGGCATTTGATAACGTGCCTGTCCTTCGTCGTGGACAATTCAGATTCGTGCCTCTTTAGATGGTTAGTTTTTTCATTAGTACATTGTTCAAACTTTCAGGCAAGTACGTTTACTAGCTTTCTGGTCTTGGCTTGTTTTATCAGGAGATGCTTTTGTGCATTTCCTTCTTGTTTTATGCTTGGAATGAGAAGACTTTGTTCAGGCTCGATGCATTCAGTTACAACCATGAACAGTTATCTTCAGGCTTCTCAGAGTACAGTACTGTACTACTTTTGAGCTCTTCCTGATACATTTTGATGACATGTGGCATTGTGTAAAAGGAATCCTTATGGGTGACACACACATTGGTTGAATTTTAGTGTAATGTTATGAAGTGAAGCTAAAGAATTTGATTTTATTTCAGTTTGTAAAGATATTGGTAAAAAAAAAAAAGATTCTATGTATAGCATCAGTAAAACCACTTGTTCACCATCTACTTTAAAATAGTCTGTTAGCCGAGTTGTTGGTTCAGTGTGGTTCCACTGGCACACTGCTGCTTAGTGCTATATAAAATACATTGTGTACAAGATTGTGTGTAATATTATCTGACAGGCTACAACAGCAGAATTTAGAATGAATTAAAATTCTTAATATACTTGATGTACAGTATTTTCTCCATTTTTTTTCCTTGTACTCCATACTTCAAAGCATAGACTTAGTCTGCCTTTCGTGCAAAATCTATTGTGTTAGAACATGTTAACGGTGGAGCTAGGCTGGGTGGCAGCTGTTTGTACTAGTCTTGACCTTAATATTGGACCTGTTTATTTAATTTATTTTGTCTTTATTTTCAGTGGAGTAGATATGACGGGGTTGATAAAGAGTTTAGGCATCAACATAGGAAGGGTGACCGAGGGAGCTGCTGCTGCTGTGGGTTGTGAAACTTCGGCCTCCATAGCAACTGCACCAGAGGAAGCTCTTGGCGAGGTTGCAGCCACAGAAAGTCTTCAACGGGGAGACGTGGCAGAGGCTGTTGCCGCTGAAGTAGCTGGTAGTGCTAACAGTGTAGAAGTGCCGTAGATTTGAACACTGTGAGAGCAGCAGGGGCTGCCACATTTGTAGTGGCATATGCTGTGCATAAGGTGTTTGCTCCAGCACGTATAGCTATAACACTTACCGCCACTCCTTTTATTGTTAGACATCTACGAAAAATTGGATTTTTGAAACCACCCAAACCTAAAGCAAGTTAAGGCTTTAAAATTATAAATGCTGTTAAAAGCATTGGAATAATTCTTAATATTAATTTTTAGATTGAAATGGTCATTATTCTGATGAATTAGTGGGATATACAAAATATTGGCAAATTCTGTAGTCCTAAAATTGTAACAGTTGTAAACCTAATTTGCTCAAAAGATTTGCACATTAAATCTAAGGCTTATTGTCTCTTATTCATTAAAATAAGCCTTCATTACTTGATACACATGATGGCTTGCAGTACTATATAGGGTTTGTAATTTATAATTTTATATCAAACGTTCTCTTGAAGACATTTAGTGCTTGGTGATGGCTTGTAGCCTCTTGTTGCACAGACGTCCGTTGAATGAACTTTAGTGTGTACTAAATTGGGACCATGTTCAGAAGTTTCTGATGATTTGAATGTTTATTGATTGATCTCTGCTTCTGTGGGTGAGCACAGTTGTGTAATTTTCGCAAAGATTTATAATTTAGGCAATTTAAATTAAAATACTGTAATTATGAATTGTTTTATTTTGGTTACGAATGATTTCAGGGTTGTGCTGCAGTGTGGTTGTTTCTTTGATGCTATATAATACATGTAATACTGTACTATAATGAATGAATGAAAGAGATATTTACAGCTTGTATATAGTTTTTTATTTAAAATGTTAAACCTTTTCACTATTACACAGCTTTTTTGTTTCTTACTCAAGAGCCAATGCTTTTCAACCTGATGAAATTGAGAAAGGGGTAAATTTGTGATTGACTTTGAGCAAATCTGTGATGTATATAGCTCTAAATGTGGTACTTTTTGCTCTTTACACTTCTGCTGCTGCTGTACAGAGTAGACAGTGGGAGGCTGTATCGACTTGATTGACAGTCACATAAGATTAGTGTATGAATAGCATGTGGGAGGCACACAAAAACTCAAGTGATGTCTCTGACTAAGATCTTATGGTGGGGCATTCACTACTGTCAAATTTTACTTTACCATAATATTTATCACATGAATCCATTGTACTTGACAAAACTCCATGAATCTGTATGGTACTGTGCTGGAACAAAGGTGGACTACTTTAAGAACAAATTAGAAAAGTTCTTGCAAGAAGTACTGGACCAACTGGGCTGTTGTGGATATATGGACCTATGGGCAGCTGCAAGCAACAGCCTGTTGGACCAAGTTATCACAAGTAGAGCCTAGTTTCATGCCGGGCTTGGGTAAGTAAGTAATTATCAAAAGAAGGCACCAAACTGGGAAGGCTATGTAGCACCATCAAATACGCAAAATAATCAGAGGGCGCTAAATATCACCAAGGATGCCAATACGAGAACAAAAACGCATAAGGCGAACGATATCAAAAGTATCCGAGTCACCAAGAATTCTATCGAGGGACAGGTGACCGCGAGGGGCGGTCGGAAAGCAAAACACACGCTCGTCCTGGAAGTCAGGACATTCAAGAAGGACATGCACGACCGTAAGAGGAACAATGCAACTAGGACAATAAGGAGCAGGGCGGCGCTCCATCAAGTGACCATGGGTTAAGCGAGTATGGCCAATACGCAACCTCGCCAGAGCTGTTTCCCACCGCCGGTTACGGTGGAAGGAGGACGGCCACGAAGAAACACAACATTTAAGAGTACGTAGCTTGTTACCAGTAACAGACAACCAAGAAGCCTGCCAACGGGTAAGGACTGAGGAATGGATAACCGGGTAAAAGTCGGAATACGGAATGCCTTTACGAGAGATGGGACAAGAGCGGACAGCTTCCTTAGCGGCAGCATCCGCACGCTCATTTAAAGACACACCAATATGGCTGGGAACCCAACAAAACTCAACCGACTTAAATTTACTGTGAACGAGAAACAGCCAATGCTGGATCTCGACAACCACTGGATGAACCGGATTAAAGGACCCGAGAGCCATGAGGGCACTACGAGAGTCAACAACAACCACAAAGGAAGACTGACAACGAGAAAGCAGGAGACGAAGAGCATAGAGAATAGCATAAAGTTCCGCTGTAAAGATGCTAGTCTCCGGAGGCAAGCGACACATATAAGTGCGATCAGGAAAAACAACAGAGTAGCCAACACCGTCCGCTGACTTAGACCCATCGGTGAAGACAGAAACGGAGCGGGAGTGAGAAGAAAAGTGCTCGAGGAAAAGGCGTTTTAGAACCGTAGGAGGGGTAAAAGCTTTAGTGATACGGGTCAAGGATGTACAAAACCGCGGAAGAGGGACCCTCCACGGGGGCAAAGAAGGAACAACACGAGGAGAAACATCAGAAATACGAACGGAAAGAGAATCCTGTAGGCGAGATAACCGGACAGAAAGAGGGAGGTGGTGAAGAGGAACAGGAACCGCAGGAGGGGTAAAAGTTAAAGCACGACAGAGGCGAGAGGAAGGATGTTGCAAGGACCGCGCAAGATAGCGAAGACAGTAGCGATCACGGCGGTCCTGGAGAGACAGGAAGCCAGTGTCAACATACAAGCTAAGGATGGGAGTCGAACGAAAGGCACCAGAACTGAGGCGCAACCCAGTATGGTGCAAAGCATCAAGACGGCGAAGAGTAGAAGGAGAAGCAGACGAGTAAGCAGGGCAACCATAATCGAGCTTAGACAGGACGAGAGAGGAATGTAAAGCAAGGAGAGTGCGCCTATCTGCCCCCCAAGAAGTATGGGACAAGACCCGAAGGAGGGTAAGGGCCTTAGAGCACTCAACACGGAGGTAAGAGATATGGGGAGACCAAGACAAACGAGTGTCAAGGAATAACCCCAAAAGCTTCGCGGAATCTTTGTATTCAAGGGGATGACCATAAAGTGACAAAGAGGGACGAAGAACAACCCGTTTCCGCGTAAAAGTCATGGCACAAGTCTTAGAAGTAGAGAACTTGAAGCCATGACCTGTGGCCCAAGACGACACGGCATCAATTGCAAGTTGAAGCCGGCGTTGAAGGAGAGGCGAATCATCACCCTGACAACAAAGGGTAAGATCATCGACATAGAGAGCGGAGAAGACACCAGAAGGAAGAGAGGAAAGAAGACCATTGAGGGCAACAAGAAAAAGAGTAGTGCTCAGAACACTACCCTGGGGCACACCTTCGTATTGCTGAAAAGAGGGAGAGAGAGCGGTACCAAGGCGCACCCGAAAGGAACGACGAGAGAGGAAGCTGCGGAGAAAGAGAGGGAGATGTCCACGAAGGCCAAAAGAATGAAGTTGAGATAGGATATGATAACGCCAAGTGGTGTCGTAAGCCTTTTCTAGGTCAAAAAGGACGGCAACAACGGAGGTCTTCGCAGCAAAAGCAGTACGAATATAGACCTCCAAGTTCACCAGGACATCTGTCGTGCTGCGGCACTTGCGGAAACCAAATTGAGAAGGGGAGAGGAGGTGATGGTGTTCCAGGAACCACATCAGACGAACGTTAACCATACGTTCAAAGAGTTTGCAGACACAACTTGTGAGAGCAATAGGGCGAAAGTCCTTAGGGGAAGTACCCAGAGACCCCGGTTTGCGAACAGGGAGGACAACGGCATCGAGCCAGTCCTCAGGGACTGACGACGACTCCCAGATCCGATTATACAGACTCAGTAAATACTGAGACGTGCTCGGAGGGAGATGGCGAAGCATCTCATAATGAATACCATCGGAGCCCGCCGCCGTAGAACCGCAGAGGGCCAGGGCAGAACGAAGTTCAGAGAGAGAGAAGGGATCATTATAGGGAAGCTGAAGATGAGTGCAGAAATCTAAAGGACGAGACTCAAGGACAGATTTACGAAGAAGGAAAGATTGGGGAAGATGAAGACCAGAGCTAACAGAAGAAAAGTGGGAACCCAGTTCGGAAGCGACCTGCAACGGGTCCGCCACAAGAGTATCATGGAGGTGAAGGACCGGTGAAACATCGGGAACGAACTTACCCGCTATCTTGCGGATACGCTTCCAGATCTGGGCCAGAGGGGTCTCGGACGTAATTGTTGAGACATAAGATGCCCAACATTCACGTTTAGCCGTACGGATGGCCCTACGGGCCACCGCACTCGCCTTCCGAAAGAAAAGAAAAGAATCGGTCGTCTGCCTACGGCGGTGCCTCTTCCAGGCTGCACGCTTACAGCGGACAGCCCGAGCACAGGCCGCCTTCCACCAGGGAACGCACTTCCGTGGACCCTGAGAGGAAGAGCGAGGAATAGAGCGGAGGGCAGCGTTGAAGACAGTGTCATGAAAAAGGAGGAGAGCGCGAGAGAGAGGCAGAAGGGAGAGGTCAGGGAGAGCAGCACTGAGGGTAAATAGGGTCCAGTCTGCCTTAGCAAACTGCCACCTAGGGAAAGAGAGGGAAGGGCGAAAAGAGAAAAAGGAAACAAGGATGGGGAAATGATCACTTCCATGGAGGTCATCAAGAACCTGCCACGTGAAATCTAAGTAAAGAGAAGAAGAGCAGAGAGAAAGATCAAGACAAGAAAGGGTGCGAGTCCGAGAGTCCAAATGAGTGGGCTCACCAGAATTCAGAAGAGACAGGGAAGAAGAGAGGAGAAACGGCTCAAGGAGGCGTCCCCGGGTATTCGTCAGAACGTCACCCCAAAGAGAATGACGACAATTGAAGTCACCCAGCAGGAGCACAGGCTCCGGCAAGGAGTCCAGGAGGTGTTTCAAATCAGGAAGAGAGAGCGGGACACTCGGGGGGAGATAAATGGAACAAACTGTGTACCATTTCCCCACAAAGATACGAACAATGGAGAGGCGAAGGAAGAAGTAAAGGAACAAAGGGAACATCAGCCCGAATCAAGAGAGCAGAAGAATTAGAAGCCCCAGCAATGACTGGGGGGGGGAGGGAGAGAAAGGAACAGCCACGAAAACGACTAGGACGAGCACCAAGCATTGGCTCCTGGAGACAGACACAAAGGGGCAAAAACCGCGAAATCAGGAGTTGGAGTTCGAGGAAATTGGCGTAATAACCTCGAACGTTCCATTGAAGAATGGACAACGACGAGAAGAGAAAGGACAAAAACAGAGAACAAGGAAGGAACAAAGGCGAAAGAGCAACAGAGCACGTTAAAGAATATCAGGGTCGGGATCAGGGTCAGCAAAGTCAGGGTTAGGGGGCATGGGTAAACTGAGCAAAGACGGAGGGAAGGAAACGGGAGAACAGATCAGAGGTGGGCGGGCAGGGTCCGGAGGAGGAGGAGGAGGAGGAAGAGACAACGGAGAGGAGCCGTCAAGGACAGCAGCAGGAGGAGGGGGAGTAGAAAGAGGGGAGCGCACCCCAGCAAGAGCAGCAACCGAAAGGGAAGCAGGGGCCAAAGAAACCTCCATAGCAGGAACAGGGGGCGCAAGCACTGAAACGGGAGGGGAAGGAGCAACAGAGCCAGAAGGAGGAGCTGAGGAAGAAAGCGAAGCCTTCTTACCCGCCGGGGAAGAGGAAGGAGAGGAGCCAGGCTTACGCTTCTGACTTAAAGAGACCGGTGTCCCAGCAACTACGTACCGGGCAACGGATTCCAGTGTCTCAACAGGAGAAGCCGAACGAGAGCACACACGACGGCCGTTAGGAGAGCGATGGACATCCGCCCGCACCGACAGGCGGTGGGGAGAGCCGATAGATGGAGGAAGAGGATGGGAAGGAGGATCGGAGGGGGACGAGGAAGAAGACACAGAAGACACGACAGACCGGGTAGAAGGAAGGGGAACCCCAGACAGAGGACCAGGAGGAGGATCCTTCGGGAGAGAACCCAAAGGAACAGAGGAGGGGGCAGTGGGCGCATCAGGGTCCAAGGCCCGGAAACGGTTGTGAGTCTGAGGAAGGCGGGAAGGACGAGGAGAGGAAGAGCGCAACACGCGAGCGTAAGAGATATTAGCATAAGGCGGGAGCCGGCGAACCTGGCGCCTCGCCTCAGGAAAAGATAAACGCTCCCGGTGCTTCAGGTTGAGGACGGCTGCCTCAAGCTTGTAATGGACACACGCACGGGAGAAGGTAGGATGGGCCTCACCGCAGTTGAGGCAACGAGCCTGGGGAGAAGTGCACTCCGACTTAGAGTGACCTTCGCCACCACACAAAGGACAGAGAGAGACAGTCCCGGAGCAGCGGAGGGCACCATGCCCAAACCTCCAGCACTTGTTGCAGAGCCGAGGAGAAGGAATGTACTCCTGGACAGAGCACCTGGCACCAGCAAGAATGACAGAGGGTGGAAGGGTCCTACCATCAAAGGTAATCTTCACAACCCGGAGGGGTTGACGGCGACTACCACGAGGGGGACGAGTAAACGTGTCCACCTGGAGAATAGAATGGCCCTGGGCAGCGAGGATATGTCGAATATCGTCGTGGCAGTCGCGCAGGTCCCGAACACCGGTTGCAACATGGGGCGGGAGCAAAATAGTGCCAACACTGGCATTCAACTGAGCGTTCTTCGAGACCCGAACGGGGGTCTCGCCAAGGCAGGATAAGGCAGCCAAGCGGGAAGCAGCATCCAGAGAAGGAGCAGCAACGACACGCGTACCGAGACGAGTGGGGTTGAAAGTAATGGAGGCATCCACGGAATCAATGAGATGTCGATGAAGGGAGAAATCGTCAGGAGGCGCAGAATCAAGAGGGAGGAGATCAAAATATTTGGCCCACGAAGCGGGACCAAACAAGGCTTGATAGGTAGCAGAACTGGAAGGAATCGAGCGAGGGCGGCCGTGACGAGGACGGCGGTGAGAACCCCCAGAGAGAGAGGGGTTAAAAGGCGCAGTAGTTACAACTAGAGAAGGAGCCGCGCCAGGGGACGAGGTAGTCACCACTGGGGGCTTGGGGCTCGACCCAACCACAGAGGAGGGAGGGGAGCCAGGGGAAGGAGTCAGAGAGGCCAAAGGAGGAGCAAGGTCGGGGCCCAATGCAGCGGAGGCTACAGAGCCCGGTCTTCCAATACGGACCGACTCGGGGGCTTGGTCGCCCACCCCACGAGCCTGAGAAGGTAAGCCAGAAACAGCCGAAACAGGGGTTATCATCTTGACGAAAAGAAGAATTCACTCACGAATGTGCCCCCACACCCACCATGGAGCCACAATTAGAGGCAGGACACCCAACAAGAAGCTATCGCCGATCTTGTCGGGGCCTCCTAGGGGTGCGTCGTGAGTATACGCCCCACAAACGCCACCTTAAGAAACCGACAGTCCGTCGAGATCGGGTTCAGTGACGAAGTGGGGATTGACAATAAAAGGTTCCCCTCGCTCTCGACGTCGGGTACTGCAGTTCTACGGGTGCATGAGTATGCCTCCTCAAGCACCCGGGCGTCAAAAATAGAAGAAGTCCATGGAAGAACCAGAACGAGCAAAAGGTCGGCAGGAAACGGCAAGCAGATAGGAAAAGAGGGGGGAGAAAAACGAAACAGAAGGAAAAGGAAAAGGTGCCCAGCAGAATTGGAGAGGACGGCAGCAGGAGCACAAGGCTAGAAAAGGACAGAGGACTGTCCCAAGGAGCATCACACTCCGGCAGCCGCCCACTAAGCCCCCACACGGCGACAACGAGCTGAGCGGGGAGGGGGCCGGGCTTGGGTAGTAGAACTCCTTCCGAGACCCCTCTCCATATCTTGCTGCCATAGTACTATACTCAAGAGCACGTCACTCTTCTTTATTGAGAGGTAGTTTGTACCCCATACTCGTCCTGTGATTGATAACACAAAGGTACAGTGTTAAACAGCCTGAATGGTTCCTGATCAGGTTTTTGGAGGCTACACAAACATTAGCCAGCCATGCACATGTTGACAATGTTACCCTCTTGATGTTTATGTATTGCCATACACTGCAGGGTCCAGCAAGTTCAGCAGAACTTCGGTTTCAACTCTTGACCATGTCGTAGCTCAGTCGATTAAGGCAGCGTCTGGGATGCTCCCAGACACAGGTTCGAATCCTCGTCACGGCCCTTGTTGATTTGTTCAGAAAGGGATATGTTTGTAATATACCGTATATACAGTATCTACCCGACTTAGGTACCTTCCATTTAGCACTCCCTGCTGGACTTGACAGCTGGTTTTGATAACTATTTGGAGCTAACATCTCATTTACTGAAGCTTCCAATAGAGGTGGAATAAGATTGCTCTTTGAATTTACTAAGCTTGCCCACTAAGTAAACAAGTGGCTGTTATTGGGTTGTTGTGGTACAACTTCATTTAAGTCGATGCTTTCCACCATGTTTTTGTGGAGTGTACTTGTCTAGTTGTGCTTGCAGGGGTTATACTTGCTTCGGCTCTTTGGTCCTGCCTCTTAACTGTAACACATTGTGTCCAGATTCCTGAGCCTACTGGGATCTATCATAACTACATTTGAAACTGTGTATGGAGTCAGCCTCCAGCGCATCACTGCCTAATGCATTCGATCTGTTAACTACCTTGACACTGAAATTCTTTCTAAAGTCTTTGTGGCTCATTTGGGTAAGTTTCGGTACTAAGTTTCCACCTGTGTACCCTCCCCCCCCCCCCCCCGTGTTAGTGTTCCACCCATGCTAAATAGTTTTTGTTCACCCTGTCAATTCCTCTGAAAACTGTGGGAAATGTGTGTGGGAATGTATTTCTCTGGAGTGACTGGGAATGTACCAGTCTCTGCAATTTTATGTGGGAGGGATGAATGAATGTGTGTGTGTGTAAGCGAGAGGGAAAACGTGTGCCTGTGATATGGACGAGCGGTGTGTGGGAATGAGTGAATTTATAATTTTCCTTAATGTTTTGAGAGCCCAAGAGTTACTTGGTTATATTTAACAAAGCATTTGCAACTTTCCTGCTTTAGGAAGTAGGGTATAGCTCCATACAGATACCTAAATTAGGTGAATACCTAATTTAATGATTGACATTAATGGGGTGCGTGTGTGTGTGGGTGTGTGTGTGTGCGTGCACTTGTGTGCTTGTTGACCATTTATATACAGTATATAATAGACCAAAGTGTCCAAATTTTCAGTGAAGGTGCTGTTGAGGTTATACTTATAAGCTGTATATATGTGTGTGAAATTTTACAATAAAACTACTGTATATTATTTTCCTTGATCATTTTCCTCCACTGTACTTACATGGCACTCAACCCTCTCATGAGCAGTCTTGATGTGTGGTGAAGGGAGGAGGCTAGCATACTACACACATGTGATCCACATGGCAATAGTGGCTTTTGAAAATTTTCTGCTCTTGTCAGGCTGATCGTATTTCGTGCACGGACACACACACAATCTCTTCCCCATCGTCTGCCAAGGTGCTATAGCTCCTGTGGGCATAAATCTTATCTGATGCAGGAAAGGGGTATACATTAGAGACTTGCTCAAATGAACCTGGCTGATAGTAGTGTCAAGGTTAAACGGGTATTGAGAAGTTGGCAACCCTGTTGGTCCTTGGCATATTATCAAAATGTAAATGGGGACCTGCATGTATTCTCCCTGGGGTTTAGTCTGCCATATTTGTGCTCCATACTTGGTGGAGATCTATAGTGGAATCATTGGTTGATTCGTGCTTACACCTCCTTCGCCCTTCGGTTTGTGTGGTGGGATACTAGTTCCTCTAGTCTACTCCTTTAAACCCAATCCAGGTACAAGAGCTTGTACTGTACCTTGTAAACAAGCCAAACAGACAGAACAAAACGTTCTGTCTAAATACCTCACCTGGGAATCTCCCACAACCAAAATTCGCGTTGGTACCTCCTTTACTTTCTGAGCAGCCTGAGGGGTCTGCGCTTCGCCGCTCCTCGCCGATTTCCGTTTCAAGTGAACTGCAGGCTCACCACAGCACTTGTCGTCCAACACGGCAAATGAATTTGCTGTCCTTAGGGCGTCTGTAGGCAGCTTTGTCAAGGTCTTCAAGACCCCTGTCCTTAACGACTATCCACTACGAGGTTTTGTTAATATTGGTCTCCTCCGTTTCTTCCCGATGTTTCAGCCGTTTCAGCTGTCGTTCTATAAGTAAGGAGTGCTGTAAACTAGATTACCAAGATTAAAGCTTTGGTATGGTGATGCAACACCTATTTAACTTCAGTCAACAGTATACATTGTTATCAACTTTGGCTTTCACTATTGAAATATTTTAATTAACTTTCTAGTTAATAGCCATATTAGCTTCCGATTAAAACTAGGCCTAAGCAGGTTAGAACATAAGAATGAAGGTAACTTCAGAAGGGCTGTTGGCCCATACAATGCAGCTCCTTATATCCACCCACTTATACTGAACAATTTACCTACGCTTGAAACTATCTAGGGATCACAAATCACAACGTGATGCATTAGATGAACAAATCCACAAGGGCCGTGACGAGGATTCTAACTTGCGTCCGAGAGCATCCCAAACGCTGCCTTAATCGATTGAGCTACGACATGGTAAAAGATTTTACCATGTGCTCAGTCTAGCAGAGTGATGCTCTTTGACGCAGGTTACAATCCTCATCACGGCCCTTGTGGATTTATCTAGGGATCCCACTTCCACATTGTTACGCGTTAATTTGTTCAACCAAAACCCTTTTGTCGAATTAGTATTTACCCAGGTCTTTCCTAAAGCTAAACTATCCAATTCATACCCTCAGGTCATTCATACCCAATTCATTCAGTCAGTCAGGTGCAGTCACAGTGAGAGGTTGTGTTAGCTGGAGCTCCAATTCTAATAACATTATTATTGCAATAATGGAAGGATTAGTAAAAGATTTGGCGAGTCTGGTTGGAGCTCTGAGAGCAGAGATGGATTCCCTGCGGGAGGAGGTACGACGGCTACGACTTCGGGAGGAAACGAAGGAGGAGGCCAGTGTTGACGGGACCTCATTAAGAAGGACTGACGAGACCAGTATTAAGAAGTCCTCGTCTTGGCAAGTTGTGAAAGACAGGGGTCTTAAGAAGACCTTGGCAAAACCGACAACTAATAGCCTACACCTAAGGACTTTTAACGCATTTGACGTATTAGAGGAGTGCTGTGTTGAACCTGTTGTTCAACGAGGTGGCAAAGACAAAGTAACGAGGAGCATTGAATCGCAGGTCCCTCAAACTGCTCGAAAGGAAAAGGGAGAATCGAAGCGAATTTTGGTTGTGGGAGATTCCCAGGTGAGGTATTTAGACAGAACGTTTTGTGCCAGAGATAGGGGGAACAGATTAAGGGTTTGCTATCCGGGAGCTGGAATTGGTGATATTGTTGGAAACATGAATGATATTATGACAGGAAATGGAAACAAACCCATTATTTGTATTAGTGCAGGGGGTAATGATGTTGGGCGAGTTAGGAGTGAGGAACTAATACAGAGATTCAGGACAGCCATTGAATTAGTTAGGAGCAAGGGAGGAATCCCGATCATATGTGGCATTCTTCCAAGAAAGGGAGTGGGAAATGAATGGATGTCGAGGGCAATTGGTGTCAATTGCCGGCTGGAAAGATATTGCAAATCAAATGCAATATCTTTCATAGACAACTGGGAACACTTCTATGGAAGAAATGGAATGTATGAAAATGTTGTAAGTGGAGTGCCTCAAGGCTCTGTCCTGGGACCTCTGTTGTTTATAATATATATAAATGATTTAGATTCAGGTTTGAGTAGCAACATTTGCAAATTTGCCGATGATACGAAAATCGGTAGGGAAATTAATTCGGAGGAGGACTCACTATCACTTCAAGTTGATCTAGATAGGGTTTTGAAATGGTCAAAGGATTGGCAGATGCAGTTTAATGCTGATAAATGTAAAGTTCTGAGGTTAGGTAATGATGATAGAGTTACAAGATACGAGCTAGATGGTGTTGTGATTGCGAAGTCGGATTGCGAAAGGGATCTGGGAGTTATGATTAGTAAGAATTTAAAACAAAAGGATCAATGCATAAATGTTCGTAATAAGGCAAATCGGACACTTGGATTTATTAATCGCAGCGTTAGTAACAAGACACCTGGTGTGGTTCTCAAGCTATATCTTGCTCTAGTTAGGCCCCATTTAGATTATGCAGTTCAGTTTTGGTCGCCATATTATAGAATGGATATAAATTCACTTGAACGTGTCCAGCGTAGGATGACTAAGTTAATTCCCCAAATTAGAAATCTTTCATATGAAGAAAGATTAACAAAGCTTAAGTTGCATTCACTGGAAAGGCGAAGAGTTAGGGGTGACATGATAGAGGTTTACAAGTGGATGAATGGACATAACCGGGGGGATATTAATAGGGTATTAAAAGTATCAACACAGGACAGAACACGAAACAATGGATATAAATTGGATAAGTTTAGATTTAGGAAAGACTTGGGTAAATACTGGTTCAGTAACAGGGTTGTTGATTTGTGGAACCAATTGCCGCGTAACATTGTGGAGGTGGGGTCCCTCGATTGTTTCAAGCACGGGTTGGACAAGTATATGAGTGGGATTGGGTGGTTATAGAATAGGAGCTGCCTCGTATGGGCCAATAGGCCTTCTGCAGTTACCTTTGTTCTTATGTTCTTATGTTCTTATGAAATGTATGCTCGTGATGGGGTGCATCTATCGAGGGCTGGGGTTGTTGCTGTTGCGAACTCGTTGGAAGAAGTGGTTAGTGCTGTTTGTTTGGATTTAAATTGTTAGTAGATAGAGGTATGGGAATTGATTTGGAGGAAGGAGGTAATATAAGTATGTGTTTGTGGGAGAAAGGAATTGGCAAAATGATCAGGGAAAGAGAAGGGCCTCAAAATAACAATTCACTTAGGGTATATTACACTAACAGTAGAAGTCTAAGAAATAAAATTAACGAATTAAATGCTCTTGTCTGCAAAGAAAAAATAGATATTATTGCACTTAATGAAACGTGGATGAATGTAGAAAATAGAGAACCATTAGCTGAATATCAAATAAATGGATTTAAACTATTTCACACAGATAGATATATTAGACGAGGAGGTGGAGTAGCCATATATATTAGGGACAATTTGAAATGTAGTCTCAAAGAGGGAATCAAAACTGAGCCACACACAGCAACTATTTGGATAGAATTAAACGAAAAAGCTAATATTATAATAGGAGTTATATATAGGCCACCAAATTTAGACAGAATGGAAGCAAAGCATCTATGGGATGAAATATCTAGAGCATCTAGATCTAACAGTATTTATGTCATGGGTGACTTTAATTTTAGTGGAACAAATTGGTTGAACAAAACAGGGAATTGTGAAGCAGAAGATTTTCTAGAATTAATTGACGATTGCTTTCTTACGCAACACATTAAGGAACCAACACGGGAAAATAATATTTTAGATTTAGTGTTAACTAACAAGGAAACACAAATTAATGACATCGAAATAGGGAGTGAGCTAGGGAACAGTGATCACAAAGAAATCAGATTTAGCATAGAATGGAATAGACCTGTAGGAGAAAATTCTGTTAAAGTGCCAGATTTTCGTAAAGCTGATTTTAATAGCCTAAGAAATTTTTTGAGTCAAATTGATTGGAAAGTCTTTGGTATGGGGTGTGGGCCGGTCTTGGAGCGAGACATAAACCCAGCGATAGGCGACTTAAATGGGGATTTCGATGTGGATTCAATATATAACTTATTTAAGAATATTCTAAACAAAGCACAGGAACGTAGTATACCATACAAATTGAATAGATCGAATACTAATGACCCAAAGTGGATAACAAAGAATTTGAAGAACCTTATAGGTAAAAAGAGAGCTTGGTATAAAAGGATTAAAAATGGGGAGGCCACTTTAGAACAAGAATTCGTACAACTGTTTAGAAATGTTAAAAAAGAGATAAGGAAAGCAAAAAGAAACTATGAAGTTCGCATAGCAGGGCAAGCGAAGACAAATCCTAAAGGGTTTTTTTTCAGTTATATCGTACTAAGACTAGGGAAAGGATAGGCCCATTAAAAACTGAGACAGGTCAAATAACAGATAGTGATGAAGAGATGAGTAGTATTTTTAATAAATATTTTGTATCTGTATTTACTAAAGAGGAACTTAATAATATGCCTTCAGCCGAACAAGTCTATGTGGGTGGGGACGAGGACAGGTTGACGAGTTTTGCAGTTACCAGGGAGGATGTTCTTAAATAAATAGTAAAACTCAAACCAAACAAATCCCCAGGGCCGGATGAAGTGTTTGCCAGGGTGCTTAAAGAATGCAAAGAGGAGCTTTGTGACCCACTGTCAACCATATTTAATAAATAAATAGAGTCAGGCAGAGTGCCAGAGTTTTGGAAAGTTGCTAATGTGATACCAGTTTTTAAGAAAGGAGATAGATCACTTGCATCTAACTATCGACCAATTAGCCTAACGTCTATTGTGGGAAAGTTACTCGAATCTATAATAGCAAATAAAATTCGTCTTCATCTTGAAAAACATAAATTAATAATTGAGTCGCAACATGGTTTTATAAATGGCCGTTCATGTTTAACAAATTTGTTATCTTTTTATTCTAGCATAGTTGAGGCAGTTGATAGTGGTAAGGATTGTGATGTGTACATAAGAACATAAGAACGTAAGAACAAAGGTAACTGCAGAAGGCCTATTGGCCCATACGAGGCAGCTCCTATTCTATAACCACCCAATAAGAACATAAGAACATAAGAACAAAGGTAACTGCAGAAGGCCTATTGGCCCATACGAGGCAGCTCCTATTCTATAACCACCCAATCCCACTCATATACTTGTCCAACCCGTGCTTGAAACAATCGAGGGACCCCACCTCCACAATGTTACGCGGCAATTGGTTCCACAAATCAACAACCCTGTTACTGAACCAGTATTTACCCAAGTCTTTCCTAAATCTAAACTTATCCAATTTATATCCATTGTTTCGTGTTCTGTCCTGTGTTGATACTTTTAATACCCTATTAATATCCCCCCGGTTATGTCCATTCATCCACTTGTAAACCTCTATCATGTCACCCCTAACTCTTCGCCTTTCCAGTGAATGCAACTTAAGCTTTGTTAATCTTTCTTCATATGAAAGATTTCTAATTTGGGGAATTAACTTAGTCATCCTACGCTGGACACGTTCAAGTGAATTTATATCCATTCTATAATATGGCGACCAAAACTGAACTGCATAATCTAAATGGGGCCTAACTAGAGCAAGATATAGCTTGAGAACCACACCAGGTGTCTTGTTACTAACGCTCATATACTCAATCCCACTCATATACTTGTCCAACCCGTGCTTGAAACAATCGAGGGACCCCACCTCCACAATGTTCCGCGGCAATTGGTTCCACAAATCAACAACCCTGTTACTGAACCAGTATTTACCCAAGTCTTTCCTAAATCTAAACTTATCCAATTTATACCCATTGTTTCGTGTTCTGTCCTGTGTTGATACTTTTAATACCCTATTAATATCCCCCCGGTTATGTCCATTCATCCACTTGTAAACCTCTATCATGTCACCCCTAACTCTTCGCCTTTCCAGTGAATGCAACTTAAGCTTTGTTAATCTTTCTTCATATGAAAGATTTCTAATTTGGGGAATTAACTTAGTCATCCTACGCTGGACACGTTCAAGTGAATTTATATCCATTCTATAATATGGCGACCAAAACTGAACTGCATAATCTAAATGGGGCCTAACTAGAGCAAGATATAGCTTGAGAACCACACCAGGTGTCTTGTTACTAACGCTGCGATTAATAAATCCAAGTGTCCGATTTGCCTTATTACGAACATTTATGCATTGATCCTTTTGTTTTAAATTCTTACTAATCATAACTCCCAGATCCCTTTCGCAATCGGACTTCGCAATCACAACACCATCTACATAAGAACAAGGACTTTAGCAAAGCTTTTGATACAGTGCCACATGAAAGACTGATTAAAAAATAGAAGCTCATGGTATTGGGGGTGCTATATTAACTTGGATTAGGGCATGGCTATTCCAAAGGAAACAGAGTTAGTATAAATGGGGTTAAGTCAGAGTGGGATAATGTTGTTAGTGGAGTACCTCAGGGCTCTGTCCTGGGCCCTCTGTTGTTTATAATATATATAAATGATTTAGATTCAGATTTGAGTAGCAACATTTGCAAATTTGCCGATGATACGAAAATCGGTAGGGAAATTAATTCGGAGGAGGACTCACTATTACTTCAAGTTGATCTAGATAGGGTTTTGAAATGGTCAAAGGATTGGCAAATGCAGTTTAATGTTGATAAATGTAAAGTTCTGAGGCTAGGTAATGATGATAGAGTTACAAGATACGAGCTAGATGGTGTTGAGATTGCGAAGTCGGATTGCGAAAGGGATCTGGGAGTTATGATTAGTAAGAATTTAAAACAAAAGGATCAATGCATAAATGTTCGTAATAAGGCAAATCGGGCACTTGGATTTATTAATCGCAGCGTTAGTAACAAGACACCTGGTATGGTTCTCAAGCTATATCTTGCTCTAGTTAGGCCCCATTTAGATTATGCAGTTCAGTTTTGGTCGCCATATTATAGAATGGATATAAATTCACTTGAACGTGTCCAGCGTAGGATGAATAAGTTAATTCCCCAAATTAGAAATCTTTCATATGAAGAAAGATTAACAAAGCTTAAGTTGCATTCACTGGAAAGGCGAAGAGTTAAGGGTGACATGATAGAGGTTTACAAGTGGGTGAATGGACATAAAGGGAATATTAATAGGGTATTAAAAGTATCAACACAAGACAGAACACGAAACAATTGGTATAAATTGGATAAGTTTAGATTTAGGAAAGACTTGGGTAAATACTGGTTCAGTAACAGGGTTGTTGATTTGTGGAACCAATTGCGCGTATCATTGTGGAGGTGGGGTCCCTCGATTGTTTCAAGCATGGGTTGGACATGTATATGAGTGGGATTGGGTGGTTATAGAATAGGAGCTGCCTCGTATGGGCCAACAGGCCTTCTGCAGTTGCCTTTGTTCTTATTTTCTACGTTCATCCACGTTTCGGTAAGTGCAATAATATCTATTTTTTCTGTGCAGACAAGAGCATTTGTTCTTATGTTCTTACACAATTTCCCTCCCCCCCCCCCCTTTATATTACTAGCGATACCCATTAAATAAATCTCAAACAAAACCTAACTAAACAGCCTAAAATTGGTTATTAGCACAAATGAATTACAAAGACGCGCTTTAAAAAGCTACAAGACTCGCTACTTACCCGCTAGTCTACCACACTGGCCTACACATCCTCTTCCAACACAATTCAAACAGTTACTACCGATCTTGGCCCGCAACAAGCCTCACATCACTTACTTTGTCCAGAAACATATATAGACTAGCAACTGACCATAACACTCATGTATTGGATATAGAATAACGCTGGGTTAATGTGTAGTGCTGCTGTCAAAATATAGATGGCGCACACCCTAATGGTCATGCCAATGGACTTACCTAGTTGTGCTTACGGGGCTGAGCTTCGACTATTTCTGCCCGAAACGCTTTGCGTAATAGTGGCTTTAGGCTTTGTATATACTAGCTCTATCAATAAATCCATCAATGTTTGTATCTCACCTTGTATGTATGTACATTACCTGAATAAACATTTTGATTCTGATTTTGATATTTGGTCCCGCCCCTCAGCTCTCAATCAATTGTTGTACAAGCTCCTGAACCTGTATCATGAACCTGAACCTTATATTCTTATATAACATCATTATGTTATATAAGAACATATGAATTAAGGTCCCTGCAGAAGGCCTATTGGCCTATACGAGGCTGTTCCTATTTACCGTGAGTTTTTCCAGCTGGATTTTAATATTTAACAGTTTTGGCATGTACAGCTTCGGCACGTTTCCTATCACCTAATGCATAAGAACATATGACTAAAGATAACTGCAGAAAGCCTATTGGCCCATACGAGGCATCTCCTATTTATAACCACGCAATATCCCACCCACATACATGTCAACTTCAAAATTCAAATTTTTATTCGGGAAAAGTACATACATAGATGATGTGTTACAAACATAATGTTGGATTTATAGAGCTAGTGCATACAATACCTAAAGCCACTAATACGCATAGCGTATTGTTCAGCCCACGCTTTAAACAATTAACGGACCCCACCTCCACTTTACGCGGTAAATAGTTCCACAAATCAACAATCCTGTTACCGAACCAGTAAACTGATTGGCTGTTTGGCAGCCGTGCGGAGCGGTTCTGTTTACATTCGCTCCTCAATCTTGCCTGGACGTTTGGCGTGCACACAGCTGGTGGCGTTTTTTGTGGCCTGGTGGGCCGGCGGGATGGCGTTGCCCATGCCGCCTATAAAGCGTGTGGATACGGTTGACCTGGCCTTCTCTGGTCAGGTGAACTACTCATTGTTGGAGGTTGCTCTCCAGGATGTGCTGGGTCTCAACCCTGCAGATGTGTGTGGTGTGCAGCTGGCTGGGGAACATCGGGCCTTGGTTAAGCTGACTGACGCTGTGGTGTACCGGGATATGGTCGACAAGTATGATGGGCGTACTGTACCTTTGCCTGGCGCGGCGGGTACGGTTTCTGTAACGGACTTGTGTGTTCCAGTGACTTGTGGTGGTGCGGGGGCTGCCGTTTGAGTTCCCAGAGAGCCTGCTCCGCCGGTTCTTAGGAGGATATGGGAGTGTTCTCGCCTGTCGGGCGAATGTGCTGAAGTCTGGCCGTCTTCGTGGCGTCCTGATGGGTATCCGCACGGTTACCATGAAGCTGAGGAAGGCGATCCCGTCGTCGATGGTGCTTCTGGGGGTTCAAGGTGCAGTGCTTTTATGCTGGACAGGAGTGCACATGTTTTCGGTGCGGTATGGCTGGACACCAGGCTGCTGGTTGCCGTAATGGCACCGTCCGGTTGGTCAGTGTCTTCCGAGAAGAGGATTTTCCGCCTCTACATGGCCTTGTGGACCTGGGGGATGGTCCTGCCGGGTTGAACCCTCCCCCTGCACCTACCGGTGATGATGGCGTTGTGGGTGCGGTGCGCCCCACTGGTGCTGACGTGTCGGGTCCGATGTCTGTGGACCCCCCTGGTGTGGGTGGTAGTGCGGTGGTCGCGCATGTGGAGGTGCATCCGCCTCCGGTTGCCATAGCCGTCGATGTTGACGCTTCCGTGGGGCGTGGCCCTGTTTTGTCGCCGGTGGAGGATGTCGCGCCAGATTCTGGTGCCCTTGGTGTGGAACCCTTGGAGGCAGATGAGTTCTTGGAAGGGGGTCGCCCCTCTCGTCGTCCTTCCACCACTGCTGTCCAGGGTCAACCTGGCTCTCAGACGAAGCGCCGGAAGACGAACAGGAGTGGTCGCTCCGGGGCCTTCGGTGCGGAGGTTAGAGCCTGATGCGAGTGTCGGTGATGGTGAGGGTGTGGCGGTGTCTGTAGTCGACCCGTCGGTGCTGGGCGGTAGAGGGCGTGTTGTGGACCCTCCTGGTGATCTCGTATGTGGGTCCCCTGGGGTACGGAGCCCGGAGTGGGCGGTAGTGGATCCGGGGGACTGTGGCAGTGAAGATCGTAGCCTTGTGATGAAGCTCCGGAAGGACTCTGGCCTCTCCCCCCCAACCCCCCTGTGGGGAGTGCGTCTCCGTCGCCTGGGAACACGGTGCCGGCTGCTACTGCTTCCGTACACGGGGTGTCGGCCGGACCGGTATGACGGTTTTGTGGTTAGATAGGGTTTATCTCTTTTCCCGATGGATCCTAAATTAACATGTGTTTCGCTGAATGTGAATGGTTTGCGTTCTGTGGCTGTGCAATTGGGCCTGGTGTCGATGCTGCGTGAGTGGCGGGTGGATGTGGCTTTTGTGCAGGAGCACAATGTGCAGGAAATGGGGTTGTTACATGTGTTGGCTGAGGGGTTTACGGTGGTGTTAAACCCTTCGCGTTGCTTGCGTGGAGGTATGTTGATCCTGCTTTCTAAGCGGGCCCCGATTTACGTGCTTCACACGGAGATGGACGAAGGTGGTCGGGTGCTGTTAGTTCGGGTCTCCTTTTTGGGGTCTGAGGTCTCTCTTGAATGTGTACGCGCCATCTGGGGCGACGCAGAGGCAGAACCGGGAGGTTTTCTTTTCCCGTGATGTGCTGCATTTTTTTTGCGGCACGATACGAGGGGGATGATTTTGGGGGGGAGGATTTTAATTGTATTACATCGCCGCGGGATGGCAATAGTCTTCGTCCAGCGAATATCTCGCCGGCTTTGACTGCTACCTTGAAGAGTTGCGGGTTTCGGGATGCGGCCGTGTTGCAAGGGGGTCCTTTGGAATACACTTTTATCTCGCGTGGGGCTTGCTCTCGTCTTGATCGTTTTTACGTGCCTACTGGGGGTGGTTCGGTTTTTTCGTTGCAGACGGTTCCCGTGGGGTTCTCGGACCATTGCATGGTGGTGTTGCAGGTGCGGATTCGCAGCCAGGTGCGGGTTGGCCGTGGCTGGTGGAAACTGAATTGTGGGTTGCTGAAATGCCCAGTTCCGGGCCCGGTGGGCTGTTTTGGCCGCTCGGAAGGGGACTTTTCCCTCGGTCCTGGAGTGGTGGGAGTGGGCTAAGGTGGAATGTCGGTCGTTTTTTCGGGTGATGGCGAAGCGGGAGGCGTCGGGAAGGTTTGGTCTGTTGAGGGTCTTGCAGGCACGGTTATTTCGCCTGTATGGGTTGCTGAATCAGGGTTTAGATAGGTTTCGGGAGATCTCGGTGTGTAAGGATCTCATTTGTGGGCTGAAGGAGGAGATGGCTGAGGGGGTACGTGTGCGGGCTGGGGTGGAGGAACGGTTGTGTGGTGAGAAGTTCTCGGTTTTTACTGCGGAGGGAACGGGTGGGGCGTGCCTCTTGTTTTGTTGGCAGGTCTTCATCGGCCGGACGGTTCGGTTTTGTCGGACACGGGGGCGATTTTGCATTATGTGCGTGGTGAGTTGGAGTCTTTGTATGGGGTGGTCGCGGGGGATGAGGGGTTGATGGAGTCCTTCCTCCAACACTGTGCACCGGGGTTGTCGGGTATGGATTGTGTGGGTCTTGTGCGGGAGGTAAGCCCTTCGGAGCTTTGGGAGGTTGTGCGATCCTTTCGTCGTGGTAAGGTTCCAGGGTCGGATGGGTTTCCGATGGAGTTCTATGTCGAGTTTTGGGATGTGCTTGGTGCCGATTATTTGGAGGTAGTTCGGTTTTGTCTTCGGAGTTTGTCTCTGTCCAACAAAATCAACAATCCTGTTACCGAACCAGTAAACACCTCTATCATGTCACCCCTAACTCTTCGCCTTTCCAGCTAATGCAATTTAAGCTTTGTCAATCTTTCTTCGTATGAGAGGTTTCTAATTTGCGGGACTAACTTTGTCATCCTATGCTGGACGTGTTCTAGTGAATTTGTATCCATTCTATAGTACGGCGACCAAAACTGAACTGCATAATCAAAATGGGGCCTAACCGATTCAGGAAGCTCTGTGTATTTCTTCGTAAGTGGGTTTGCTACGAAGGTTCCTAAGTGCGCCTTAAGAAGATGCTTAGGTGCGATTCAATAAGGTCCACTTAGGAAGAAATTTTATATTTCGAAGTAAAACAATGTTTTTTCAACTTCTACAGCCAGCACCAACATTGTAGTAAACAAATATGTTACATTTGTTGTTTACCTACGTAATTCTAAGAGTTTACCTACGTAATTCTAAGAACCCAAGGGCCACTAACTATCTAGTGGCCTCGAAGAGGACAGAAAGCCGGCGGCTTGTTAAAGGGCCCGCCAATTGTCTTAATGATATTTTTTAGCTGGAATTTGGCATTTACGGCTTCAACGGGTAGGCGGTTCCATGGGTTTATAGCCCTCTTGGTGGAAAAAAAACATCTGTTTTCATTCCTACTTGAGAGAACATACTCTCCAACACTATATCTGTGATTGTCCTGTTATCAGTGACTTCATACCAAATGGTATGAGGTATTTTGAGCTCTGTAATTACTTCATACACTCAGGAATATTGGAAGATATTCTTGTGCTGCACCCAGATTTTGCCAGTGGAGGCTAATAGATCAGCATTAAGTATTTTGTTCTCTCCTAATTCCATGTTTGACTGGCCATCCTGTGAGGTGAGGATGTTGGATGAGCTTGTAGCCGGTTTTTGATCTACACTGTGTGGTCCTTCATACAGAATAGATATGCAGCACATTGCTGTGTATACCTAAACATGTTTAAAAATACATTGTTTGAGAGGAGTCTTGTAGAAACTGGTAAGAGTAATTATAATATAATGTTTCCATGATTCAGTGCTTACCTCTTGTGAAAATTGCTTAGAGTTGTTTAGTCAGAGTTGATTTGTTTTTTGTATTGAGGCTGGTATTTTCTAAATTGATTCCATGTACAGTATGTCTAACCATCCT